TGGGAGCTCCCTCCATCAGAGGGGAAGGAGTCAGAAAGTGAGTAATAGGGAAAATAGGAGGGGAAAAGACTGAAATTATGAAATATCTCAGGAATTAGAAAACTGAATGACCTTGAACATAATCAGATAAATCAAAAGGAAAAACATTAATGGTAGAAGGAAATATGGCCTTCAGACCTAGTAAATGATTTCAGGCAACTGAATAAATACTGTAAAACAAAGGAAAATGATTCAGCACTTGATGAGAAAGAGGACTCTGTGGAATTTGAGCTGGACATGGATCATAACACACTGTTCCTAAGTGACATAGAAGAGAAATAAGTACGAGAGCAGAATTACTGGTTTGCACAACAAAAATAATTGGCGGAATAAGAGAACTTGAATCTACAATGGCAAGTCTCACCAAGAAACAAAAGAGAGAACAACTGATTGGGAATGTGAATACACAAAGGTGAAGAACAATCTAGAAGAAGAGCAACAGAGAGGTAAAAAGCAACAATTAAAGAAAATATACTCTATTCAAACAAAGCTTCCTGATCTTTAAGATAGCATGCATAGAGCCAACATAAGGATTACGGATCTTTCAGAAGAACCTGACAAATAAAAAAAAACATTAATACCATGATGCAAGAATTAGACAAGAAAATTGCCCAGAACTTCTGAGCAAAGAAAATGAAATATCAATTGAAAGAATAAATGTGACCTCCAGGAAAAAACAAAAAACAAAAAACAACTCATTGCTACAAACTCCAAGACACATAGTGGTATCTTGGAAATTTCATAATTCAGTTCAGAAATAACAAGTTCTACAAGTAATCAGAAGAAAGACTTTGAAATATAAAGGAAAGGAAATTCAAATAACAAAAGACCATTCTACACCCACAAGAAAATACAGAAGGGAATGGAATAATGTGTTCCGAAGAGCACTGGACCTCAGGATGTAGCCCAGGGAGACCTACACTGAAAACCTGAGCTTAATCATAAATGGAAAAAAAATAGATGTTCAATAATAATAATGTTTGAAACATTCTTAGAAAGAGGCCTGTCTGAGATAATTTTGATTATATTTCTCATATGGACTTGTTTGGAGATTCCACCCCATTACTCAAAGGAAATGTTTTGAAAGCTCAGAGACAATAATGAATTAATATTACTTTAAGACTTTGCCAATTACTTGTTGCTTTAAAGCTAACAGGCTACCCATGCAGTATGGCTTTTATTGATTAGAGAGGCAGTTGGTACAATGGAAAGTGTGTTGGATTTGTAGTCAGAGAATTCAGTTCAAATTTATTCTCTTCCACTTACTATCTGGGCCAAGGACTTCTCTGGATCTCAATTGCCTCATCTGTAAGGTGAGGAGGTTGAACTAGATGATCTTTAAGGTCCCTTATAGCTCAAAACTTATGACCCTGCAATCTTTATTCTGATGTGACTCCTGGTAGGGTTGACTATGAAGTATGGCTTAGTAGGTCAACAGCTATCCATCTACCACAACAACCAGCTAATGTGTTCACTCATTACTGGTTTTTATCTCTATATATTCAATTGCTTCAATTCATTGGGACTATTTAGTGCACTGTGCTTGCAGTATATTCGTTAGGTATGATTGCAAGATCTGAAAGACTGTACTCTTATGGCTGGGGGTTGCCTGTCACCTCTTTCTGTGGGTAAAGGGAACGAGACAGATTTACACTCAAAGTTGGGTCAAGGAGGTTGCCTAGATTAAAGGACCAGGGTATAAGCAAGAGAGCCAGAGGCCACTTCAGTCCAGTCTCAGTCAGTCATATCCTGTAAAAGCAACCTTCTTGATCCTGATCAGAAGATAAAGGGTAATGAGGTGTTAATGTGTTTATAAGTGTTTTCCTGGTTATCTCTTTGTGAATTTTAAGCATCTTTCTTTGAAAGAATTGAAGAGAACAAGCAGCCCTTTTAGATTAGCAAAAATTAGATGCCTCAGTAAGACTTTAAATTGCTAGACCTGGGATTCATTCAAGGGAGTCTAAGCCAGGAGGTAGAAAAAGAGGAAGAACTGCCCCTCCCTACACCCTGAGGGGGAACATCTTCTTGGAAGGAAGAGGGAATATCTCTCCCTCATTAGCAATATCACATTGAAGTGGAGTTACTCAAACAGTAGAAGATACTACATTCAGCAGGGAACAGAGACACACATTCCTAATAGACATAGATAAAGAGAAGTAGTCAATAGAGGGATGAAGGAATCAAGAGATAATCCTCTGGCAGCAAAGAAGGGAGCCAGCTGTGGATGCGAGAGACTGTGGATTCAACTGGTTCTGGCAATCAAGAATCAATGAAGAGAAGCAAACCATGAGAGCCCAAGAGATGCTGCTGCACTTAGGTTGGAGCTGCTTGTGGGACCTTACAATACCTCAGCAGTGGGAGCTTTGGCAGTATGTGCACTTCACTATTATTGTACTCCATTTGTGCTCATTCTTGTGATTGATGTTGTATATATTTGTGGGAGAGTGTACATACAAAGGTTAATAGGGAGTGGCATTTTTTTTTTTTTTGCTGTTCTTACTATAGCATCTTAGTAAATACTCTTGCTGTGAACTAATTGTATTTACTGTTGTTAGTGAATACACTGGTGGGGGCTTTTAAGCTACAGTTTTAGAAGTGAGTACTCCTAGAAGCTTCAGGTAACAGCTACCCTCGGAGGACTTAATCTGCAAGTGCAAATTGAGGAAGTGGTCCAGAGGAAGTGTTGTATATACATATACATACATATATATATATATATATATATATATCTGTGGAAGAATAGTTCCTAAACTTTTTGTGTTATGGACTTCTTTGAAGGTCTGGTTAAGCCTGTGGACTCCTTCTCAGAATAACATTTTTAATGCAAAAAAAATTTATATATAGAGTTTCAAAGGAAACCAATTATATTGAAATATAGTTACTAAAATATTAAAAAAAAAAACAGTTCATAGACTCTTGGCTAAGGATTCCTGCCATAGAAGACTCCCACTGCCTAGGAGGTTTATAATCGATATTGATTAAATATGATTATTATATTTATCTATGGATAAAGGACAAAATTTCTATTTTAAAAGGTTTGTATACTATGTAGATTATTTAAAGATACGAAAAGGAGAAACTTGGTAGGTAATGGGAGTTGTAAGCAACATTGGATCTTTATTTTAATTGGCTTTTTTCTTTACCAAATTTTTGGTAAAGAAAAACAACACCAGCTCTTCAATAGTGTCCATGAAAATAAAACTATACATAAAAATGGTTTCTATTTATTATTAGTATTTGAAGATTCCTCAGTCACTTTTATTGGAAATGACCTCTTGGATAGAGATAGAAACTGTTTCATGTAGTCAAGTAAATTTGGGAGTGAATTGGGTGGCTAAGTCAAGAGCCGTTTATGTTTGGCTTGGCCAGAAAAGTTCCAACGGAAGTGAATGTCTTGCTGCTCTACCAGTTGGCCTAAACTTAAAAGGAAAAGAAACTTCTCCATCATAGGGTGAGTGCAAGGAAATAGGATGGTAAAATCCATGCCTAATATGTTTCTAGAGACTATATCTCCAGGAAAAATCATCTGTGAATTTCTCAATGCATTTCATTGCAATGAGGAAAGAGGAATTACAGATAATTGAAATTTACCAGCAAACATAAAACAATTCAAGTAATAGCATTAACTTCATCTATCACGAAAACGTATATACAAGTTATTAACAAGTAGCAGCCTCTCTTACTTTTCCTGCTCAGCTCACTCTCTGGGAGAGGTGCTAATGGGCAGTGAAACAGCGAAAAGTTAGGCAAGGAGACAGAAGAGTGGCAGAAAAATCAGACACCTGGATAATGCAGGACAGGATCCATCCCAAGACTAATCAAGGGTTGACTGTAGAATCTAGGCCTGTAAGATAACCCTTAATAAAAACATACTGATTCAACTGATTTTAGGAGCACAGAGAGGTTGATTAAAATGTGGAGCTATCCAAAGAAAAATAGGAGAGACAATGCCAGAAAGCTGAAATTTGAGGATGCTTTCCTCTTAAAGAAATAAGTATAATGTAATTTGGTTCTGATCTTAGGAGGTTTCCACCTCCAATAGTGAATTTTGTGGTCAACTAGCAATTTAGACTACTCCTCAGATTGGGTCCTAGCTTTTTTGGGTTTATAAGGAAATCTTTTTTCAAAAGAGATCAGTGTCTGAAATGCCTTTAATCAATAGTCAAAGGATTTAGACAACTGGTAGTACCAATCTCTCTTCTTGAAGACCACAGGGTATCACTTCCTTAATCTTCATCCCTCCAAAGGGTAAGAGTTTCAGATGGATTTTTTAAATGAAGATTTTTGGTGTACATAGTTCCTTTCATCTTCTGGCAAGTGATTACCAGTCTTAATCAAAATTCCTTTGTGTATCGTTAACTAATTTTTGCTGCCTACATTTTTTTTTTTTACAGTGAGTTTGCAATAGTCCAGTTCTAAGTTCTTTGTGGGATTTCATGTTTTACTAGTTAGCCTTAAGGGAAGCTAAATTTAAAAGTAGGGAAACAGTAATTAAAAGTGATTAGGACAAGAAGTCTTGGTGCTATGAAATGTGGCCTCAATTGTCCTTGACAAAACCGGAATGAGGCCGTAGGTTTTTGGTTTTGATTATGGCCTTACTTACTATTTTAATAAACATGAACCAGTATTCAAACTTTTAATATCCTGCTGCTTAACTATTTCCAAAAAGCCATCCAGCTCTTTTAAACAGCTCTTGTTTTAAAATTTTAATTTGCTTGGCTCAGCCTTACCTTAGAAAGTTGTAGCCTCACCGTTAACTTTTTTTTTTATAAGTTCATTTCCAGAATCACAAGGAATCTGTTTTTTTTTTAAACCCTTATAAGTGTTTCCTCATGTGCCAAAAGCATCGGGTGCTGACAGCTTTCTTGCACCGTTTTATCTGGTTCCCACAGTAAGTATGAGAGACAAATACAGGAATGTCCAGTGTTGACTATGCCCATCAAGAATACAATGATACTTACAACTCTTCCAGGAAGCGGAGATTGTGCAGGGGGTTTGGGGGCAGCTTAGTGATGTTGTTCATACTGAGATCACTGTAGGGAAAAACAGACAGAGTGTTAATACAACATATGCTGCAGCGGCGGGATCCAGCTGTTCATTCCACACATTTTCAAGGAATACATTTGAAAGAACCAGGGCCTTTGCCAAGACTAATGAATGACTCTTTTGCATCTTAAAAACAATCCTGATTTCTCCAATGCAACATTCAGTCTCCGGCACAAAGAGAACCTTAATAGTGGGCACAACTAACATTTAAAATAATTTAGGATGGTTAGAGGCAAGGTTGTCATTTGGTTTTCTCCTGGGTTCAAAGATGAGCAAGTAAGATGGTGAATGAAGCAGATAGAACTCAACTATTGGAGAAATACATTTTTTGGTGGTGACCACATTTGAGGGAGATGAAAAATGCCTTTGCTAAGCATCTGTAAAAAGCCTATTAACTTTAAGCACCTTGTAAAGACAAATATTTTGATTCAAAGAAACTCAATTATAAAAAACAACAACTTTCCTCCCTTCTAGCATGCTCCTTTTGCAGGTTCTCAGATTGCATTAAATAAGTGAAATGAACCATAAAACAAGGGTGTAATGTGATCCTGCTATGCAGCACACTTCCTGCTGGGGTTCCACAGTAGTTCCTGGCTCAGGAAACAACTAGCCACTCAGGACAGAACTCAATCAATTTTTGTTTTAGGCTAAATTCCACATAATTAGGTTTAATCTAATTTTTACTTTTATATTTCTTTACTGTATTTCACATCCTTCTGCAAAATCACCCAAGTTTACATCTCTTAGGCTGAAGACTAAAAGATATATGGCTGAATCCAGATTTAGCTACAAAAAACCAGCCCAGGCTTGGTACATTTTTTTTGGTCAAAGAATGAATTAAATGCTGGTATTGTGCTGCTCACAGGCCAGGTTTGTATAACAGAAATTATGTAGAAAATTGAGAAAGGTAATTAGTTTACTTTTATCTAGGTTGTTTGAATTTAAATTTTCACTTGAATGAAGAATATACATCATGTCTAATTGGCTTGTTTTAGGTTTGGTTTCTTTGAATAATAATAACTCCTAAATAGCGAGTCTAAAATCTTTATTGCTTAAAACAAATGAACTGAGGCAGAGTAAGCAGAACTAGGAGAACAATTTATACAATAACAACAACATTGTAAAGAAATGAACAGCTTTGAAAAATATAAGAACTCTGATCAATGCAATGATCAATCATGATTCCAGAGTACTGATGATAAAGTTTGCTACCCACTACCCTTGAGAGACAGGTGATGGATTCTAGGTGCAGAACGAGACATGCATTTTTAGCCATGGCCAGTGTGTAAATTTGTTTTGCTTAATTAAATTTATTCATTGCCATTGTGTTTTTCTTTTTCTTTTCTTTCAGTGGGAGGAAGAAAATATGTGTTTGTCAATTTAAAAAAAAACAGATTCAAAATGTCAAACAAAGTCAAACAAGCAATAATAAGTGTGAAAAAGAAAACATTGTGTAGAATGCATTTGACTCTCTTGAAAATAATGGAATTGTAATTATTTTTCAATTGATTTTGCAGATGGAAAAAAAATCAAAGATCAGGGAGGTTCGGTGATTTGTCTATGCTCAGGTAACTGGAAGCTCTGAGTCTAGGACCTGGACTTTCTTTGTCTCACAAAAAGATACTACTTATAAAGAGCCATGTTTAATTAATTAAGGGCAGCTAAGTGGCAGAGGAAGGCTCAACCTCATGAGTTCAAATCTAGCCTCAGACACTTATGAGCTGTGAGACCCTGGCAAGTCATTTAACCCTGATTACCTCAGTTTCCCCATCTATAAAATGAGCTGGAGAAGGAAATGGCAAATGACTCCATTATTTTTGCCAAGAAAAACCCCAAAAAGGGGTCATGAAAAATTGGACTGAAATGACCGAACAATACCAGATATTTAATTAAATGCCTTGGTAGGTTTTGGTAACAACTACTGATCCACTCTTTTCCTTTGATGAGTTTTTTTCTCTCACCCACATGATTCAATATCCAAATACTAGTTACTTTGAGAACTACGTACTATGAACGCTATTTTAGTTACTGTTCTTTCTTAGCTGCTCTAGAAATTACTACTGTTAATGATCAAATGTCAGCAGAAAGACAGAGTAACTATGACATCTCTATGTACTCTTCCTTCCTTTCCTCCAAGGAGCAAGAACAGAGACAGAATACAGTTATTTAGGTATATCTTTACATTAGAGTCTCTGTACCTCTTTTTTTCTCCTATCAAAAGGGAATGATTTTTCACTTTTGTCTTACAAAAGAATACCTTGCTCTCCCCAAAAAGATCATCAACTGCTAAGTGCTGCTTGAAATTTGCCTGTATAGCAAGGTTAGCTGCTCTTAACACTGGTAAGATTCCAGGGAGTTGAGGGGTTAGTGTCATTATTGTTTGTCCTTCATTCTTGAAGAGCACCATGACATCAGGAAGGTGAGGCCATAACTTGCAAGTGAATTGAAGTGAAGGAGGGTTGTCTAATGTCATCAGCCTCATTTTCTCCTCCAGAGCCTTCTGGGTCCAGCTGCAAGATGTAGATCAAGACAACTGGAGATGGCTCTGGATGCAGTGGGAGACTTTGGCCTTTTTAAGCGAAGGTCCTTCTGAGTTCTCACTTTGACTGAGGCAATATAGTATACAGAGAAAGAACCATGCTATAGAAATTTCAAGTCAAAAGTTTAAAACTCATCTCTCCCCTCAACTCCTTTCCTTTCTGTTTTATTTTCTTTGAGGAGGGACCAGTTGTGAACTCTGCCCTAAACATAGATGTCAAGACTTTGTGGTTAATGTAAGAACTCTGGGCTAAAGAGCCAGATGGATTCTTGAGGAAACTGAGGATCTGAGACAGGGAAATGGGAAATAGATGAGCAAGATTAATGAGATAAGATTGAAAGTGGATGTGAGACAGTGAGGAAGGAGGAGGAAATTAAAGAGATCAGACTTGGAGAGTTTAGGGAGGAACGGGAAGCAGGCTGAGGTTTAACCTGCCCTCTATTCACCTGCTTCCCATCTTCCTTCTGTTTTCATTCCACCCCATTATTGTTTTCATTTTGCTTCAAAGGTCCCAAGGAAATGGATCTTGGGTCAGGGGCTCTTGAACTATTGTGTGTAGGAGAGAGAAGAGTAGTAGCTGAAGGAAGAAAATTAGTTCCCCAAAGATCTCTTTGTATCTGCGATGCCTTAACTCTTCTCACAAAAAATTCTCATGTTGAGCCCTTTACCTTCTTACTTCTATGTTTTCTTATTTCCTCAATCCTTGAAAAGACTTGGAATTAATCAGTCAAGGTCCAGTAGAGACCCAGTAGCTGAAAAAAGTTTTGTAAATAAGAAATTTTGGCAGTCTCTAGGCCTTATTCTCCCTATTGCATAGAAGCAATGGTTTTACATGGAACTCTTCTCGATTATGACTGAACATTTTCTCTCAACCAAACGTTTTCCTGAGCCAATCAGATTTCCCAATCAGCTATAGCAGTAGATTTGGTTATATGTCTGTGAAACTGGTGTGATGGCAGCCAAAGACAGTGTGGTGTAGTAGATAGGGGGCTGGACTTAGAAACAGGTAATTATTGTTTAGTTGTGTCTGACTCTTTGTGACTCCATTTGGGGTTTTCTTGGCAAAGATACTGAAACAGTTTGCCATTTCCTTCTCCAATTCATTTTACAGATAAGGAAGCCGAGGCCAGCAGAGTTAAGTGACTTGCCCAGGGTCATACAGCTAGTAAGTGTCTGAGATGGGATTTGAACTCATAAAGAGGAGTCTTCCTGACTCCAGGCCTGGCACTCTATCTACTGTGCCACCTACCTGCCTGATGGTTTCTTTGCCATCTATATTACTTTGTGACCCCAGATTTTAAGCATTCTACACAACCTCTTATCTGAAAGTCTTCTCTCGTAGTTCTGAGCAACCTCTCTATTCCTCTCCCTGTTAATGGTCCTAGATTAACTATGCTAGAGTTTGGTTTTTTTTTTTCTATTTTGTTTTGGGTGGAGAGTGAGTTCTGGGAATCTTTTTTGGGGGGGGGGCAGTAGCTAAAATGATTGTGAACCACCGCATCAAGGATTCCCTCTCCAAAAAGTGCTGATCTGTGTAGCATGAGTGTAAAGTCATAGAATGACCTTTTTCTGGGCATATTGAACATGGTGGTGTGAAGCCTAAATTGTGAACTGGGAAGCCCTGAAAAACTAGAACTAGCTTTAAGACAAACAACTTAATACTTGAAAGTTATACAGACTAACCAACAGATCCCACAGGCAACTGAAAGATCACAGGAATCTGAAGATTACTATGGTACAGTGCAAAGAAGTGTGACTTTGACATCAGAGGATTTGAATTCAAATCTCAGTTCTGCCCCTGTGTGACTCTGGGCACGCCCTGGGCCTCTACTTTTTCATCTGTAAAATGAGGGGGTTGGATCAGGTGTTCTTAACATTGGAGTCCTTGATTTCCCACCCCCCCAATATTTTGACGACTGTATTTTGACATAAATATTGTTAATATTCAATAATATTATCTATTACCTGCCACTCTTCTTAATCCTAATAATGTGGTGTCCTTGCATTCCTACTCTTAAGATATTAACTTTTTTTATTAGGTTGGGTTGAACCACACCTTAAGTCCCCACCCTGAAGTCTCACTTGGTAAAGGAACTAAGCTTGAGTCAGCTTCTAATGTTCTGCTTTTCATTGAAATTTATGGCATGAAGGGTAAATTAACCAGAATGAGTGGGTTTTCCTTGCTTAAATTGCCAAGGGTGGCTGGCATCTCATGACCAGGCCTTGCTAACTCACATGACCCCCTCCTCCTTTTCTCCTAAAAGTATAAGAACCTTTTCCTGTGAGTCCGCTGGTGGGACATCCTCCAGGGTGGGCTGGTGGGACGTCCTCCAGGGTGGGCTGGTGGGACATCCTCCAGGGTGGCATGTGTGCTTCCCCTCTTGATTAAAGACATTTTATTCCTCCACTCGTGAGTTTGATTTATTTCAGGACTTGACAACCTCAATA